AAAAAAACCAAAAAAACAGTTGGAGATGGTTATGCTCTGGATCAAGTCAAGATGTCAAGACCAAGAAGGTAATTCATGGTCTTGGCAACTAAGTTCTGCTGGGTATTTTGCTGCACTTTGTGCTTCTGTACATATAGAAGTAATGCTCCCTGGAGACTGCATTCTGGGGCTTGAAGTCTTTTAATGTTTTTTTTGTTGTTTTTTTTCTCATCCTTGTTGTTGAATTCCTGTAATAAGTGAAGCTGCCCTGAGCAGAGCACTAGGGATGTGTTTATTCATCTTTGCATAACTGAGCATGTTCTGTGAACCTTTATTTTAACTCAAAAAAAATGGACTTGATTTCTTTGGTTTTACTGGAGATTTTCATATAGTTGTAAATGCATAATTCTGAAGCTCTAACTAGTTAGTTTAATTTTTTCTCCTATGTGATAGTGATGACTGTTTAAATAAAAAACGTAGTGATTTCTTAGTGGGTTCTCTGTGGATTTCAAAGATCTGGCCCGTATTAAATGTCAAGAAAAGTTACTCTCACAAATTGCTAAGTAGCCTCTTCTCACTTTTTAGCAGTAATGTTGGGTTTGCACTTTGGCAGCAGAGTAGGGTTTTTTTTGTTGTTTTTTAAATGAGGTTTTAGAATGTGTCCTAAACATTAGCTGTTCAGATACACAGAGGCAGAACACCTTTAGTGGCCTTTAAGCTAGGAGGAATAAAGCTAATTTAACATTTTTCTTATAATCTCTGAAATTGACGTGAACTTGAAAGAAAGCATAAAAAAAAAAAAAATTAACTGCGGGTTTGTTTTTTTTTTTATTTGTTTTTTCTTTTTTTCAAGACATGGCCTTTTAGGAAGGCCTATGACACCGGGGCCTTCTCGCAGTGGGGTGTGAGTGTAGCTCCTTTGAAATTGCTTGAGTGATGGATCTCAGGTATCTTTTTATTTGAGTTTAAATGCTTTGCAGGGTCAAAACTTGGAGGCGTAAACAATGCTGGAATGGCCGCCTATAGTAATTGGAATTCTAGCTGGGACTGGACAGAAGATGTGCAGTAAAGAGGAAGGGCACTTGCCTTATAATGTATGCACCGTTTATTTCCATAAAGGCTTTGAAAAACTTTGAGGGCAAATCGTGCAGGAAGGATGACACTTTGCTGTCAGTGCCCGTAACATAATTAGAGTATCCGCAATCAGTAGAGCATGTAGTTCATGTGACAGACTGTCCTGTGGGCAGATCCTCTGCTGCAGGAGCAAATGTGGGCTAATGGAATAACTCCGGGAGCTGCCCACAGGTTCCTTGTGGAAATTTTCTTCGCGAGGACCGATTTCCTTTTTTTTTTTTCTACTCACGATTCCACCGCAGTTGTTCCTGTAGGCAAAGATGGGGCAGAATATCTGAAGAAGGCTGCGAACCTGCATGCTGAAAGGCGGATGAGCATCCCTCGCACTGGCACTGGCCTTTTGAGAGCTTATTGCACATTTGCAGCTCTCCTCAGTTTTGTAAACCTGCTCCAGAAGAGTTGGTAGTGAGTTTCAGACCTCCTAGGTGTTAGGTGCAGAAAGAAGAACTTGTTTTCAGTTCAGGAGTTCCACAGGGACAAATGAAAGAGCTCTTAGTAGGAAGGGATTTGTATAAGTCTTACTGATTAATTTGGATATTTCGTTCAGTTGGAAATGTGCTTTCAATGGGAAATGTTTGCGGATACCTGTTCTTTACAGTTTAGTTACAGCGTATTTTTAGCAACTTGCCTTCTAACTTCAGCAGTAAAAGGCAAGTAGCAAACTAAACAAAATACGAGTTTCAAATGAGCATTCCTGTGGCTGAAAAAGGGTTATTATTTGTTTTATAACACCACAAAGGTAGCTTCCTGTCAGCTATGTGGGTCTCCATCCCTTGCAGAATTTAGACTGCCATGTGCAGAACGCTTTACACATTTTATGCAGTATGTATTTCTTTTTCTCCAAAAACATTTGACAAGAATTTCAAGACTCAGTGTTGTTGGTCTTGTTTTGCTTGGGGTTTTTTTAGGCAGAAAATACAGAAGTAGTGTTAAGCAGTGGTACAAGGAGCAGTGCTATAGAATTTCTTTTCAAATGTTTAGAATCCTTTAGGATGGTTTAAAGGACTTCTCTTTAATTAAAAGTGCCATACACTTAGTAAAAATCCATGTTAGTTGAGAAATTGATTTTTATTTTTTTCCCCTCTTAAAAAAGGAAAGCTGTGAGTTTTCTTGTATGGGGTAAATGTCACTCTGTTTATATCTTAGCTTTGCTGCAAGTCAGGACTTGTACGATTCCTCTAGGTTGTCATAGAAACGCAGCTAACTGTCATCTCAACTCAGGTTGCTGATGGTTTTATTTGTAGGTTTTCAGGATTATTAAAATTTAACAAAAATTATTGATTTGCTTTTTATTAACACTGGCTTGTGTTTACTTTAGAAGTTCAGACTGCATAAAAGCTTTTCCTGATAGAAAAATACCTTGGAAATGATTAAATTGTGATACTCCAAATAAGGGATCATCAAATGCATTTAATATATGAAGTACAGTCTGGAGCAGTAGAGGAATCTTGTATTTTTCCAAATCACATTTTTCATTTTGTTTTGTTTACAGCAAGGTCCCCCCACCCCATTTCAATTCACCTTTTAGCTTGACTTTTACTTAACATAAAAGATACCTGTCAGGAAAGCGTGAAATGGGTACTTCATTGTGCCTGATATTTGAAGTTTTCATTTTATTTACTTTTTCGGAAACCTGGCAGAATGCTTCGGTGCACTGACTTTTGAAAGTATATGTTTTTTTGTATATGCATGTGCAGGAGGAATTACTTAGTTTTCACTCATAAATAAGACAGGCAAAACTTATTTACAGTAACTTTATCTAATGGTCCATGGATGAATGCTTTTATGCAAACTACTCAAGAGACTAGAATTAACTTTTCACGTTGGTTGCACATTTGATGTCCAGACTACAGCAACATGTGGGATCTTATAAAAACTAGATGACTGGAGTTCAATTTTTAGTTTTATGAATTTATTCAATGATTACCCATGCATTTCAAGTGTAATCTTTGTAAGCAATGTACGAAAAGCAGTAATGTATTAATTGCTGTAAAATGGACTCATACCTCCGTATACCCTCCTTCCATCACATGAACGCTTTTTTCTTTGACTTCTCCTCCCTCTACCCTGTAGTCATTTATTAAGGACCTGTAGGCACAAGGAATTTGGCTGATTTATATACAGCCCTGTAATTCGACATTGTCATTCTGTCTAGTAAGAAAGTTGTTCAGTGTTAGATTTACTGAATAAAATTGTTTCTTAGTGGACATTTTGACACCTCACTTCAGCCTGCTACGTCATGGACTGCTGACATCCCTATATTAATCTCATTTGTATTCTGTCATAAAACTCTCAAATAACATTTTAAAAGGGACTCTCTTTGCAACATATGTATATAAGCATGGGGCTAAATATTGAGTATTTCCATAGGTCCATATGGCTTTTTTGTGTTTTTTATGAGGGTATGTACGTGTTACCATGTGTGCTGATAGCATGCGTAGTAGACGGCCATAATATTTAACTTGGGAAAGCCTGGCTTTAGTACTCCAAAAGCAGTTTAAACAAAGTATGTTTTATTAACCAATTAACATGTCTCACTTTCAAATTTATTTTTCACATCATTAGCTACAAGAAAATGTTGCACAAATGTAATTCTTCTGCCATAGGCTGACACAATGCATTTTTATTTTCTATTGTAGGGATTGGAAAGCAGTGGTTGGTGGGAAATAAAGGCGCTCCTTTACTAGAGCACTGCACTGATACATTCTGGTTGCTTAGGAGTGAAAGATATGGTTTATGGGGGAAACACACCCAATGTTGCTGTGTTCATTAGAACTAATAGTGAGTTTAGGAGACTATTATTGCAAGTATACTGTTTCCCAGTGAGGACCAAGGGATATATATGGGTTTGTGCCTGTCTACGCATGTGTAGTATTAACTGAGGCTTTGTGAAGTTTAAGAAACCTCTCTCTGGCATTGTACTTCAGTAGACCATCTGTTACAGACAGATGCGTATGACCAGAGAGCTCTTTTGCAAGTTGGATTTTCTTTTCCTAAGAGATAAACGTGTTGGTTGTTCTTTGGATTTCCTGCTTGTGTTTTTTAGCTCAGTTTACTTTCTCTTCACCCTGTGCCACTTGATGCATCATCTTTCTTTGTATCTAAGTAGTGATTGGGTGATGATACCTAAGATGCTTGAAAGGAAAAAGAAAGGAAAGCTTTGGTATTTACCAGAAAAAGTTCCTAACATGCAGATGATATAGGTGATCCATAGGAATATGCTGTTTCCGTATCTTTCCCAGACAGTTTTGCAACAACATATTTATACTCTTCTTTTTTCTTTTTTTTTTTTTTTTAACATAAACCCATTGGTGCGTTTTATACAATTAACTTATTCCTAGTGGACTCTTTTTATTTTTGTTCACAGCATTTTGCCTCTATCCTTCCTACAGAAGTGCAGCATCTTGTAAAGGTCTTGAAGTTTCTTGTAACCTGCATGCTTCAGCTTAGAGTTAATTGTGGCTACAGCAGCACACTTTATTTTGTCATCATCAGTTTTTCCATATCCATTCCTTTTATATTTTTCTTCTAAATTGGGAATGTAACAAAGTATACATGTACATTTTCCCCTGCTTTTTAGATATCAACTAAGTGCCTCTTACAGCTGAATTCGTATGCTGCTATGCAGTCTTTGTTTGCACCCAGAACTTTGGAGTAAAAAGAGAAATCAATAACAAAAAAGCACACCCAAGCCCCCTCCAATGATAAAAATGTGAAAGTTTGGCTTTTGATTGTAATGGCTGTTTTTACGAGATAGTAGTGATCCATCTTCGCCTGTTGCTGTGTGCTAGTTTTGGGGTGTCTTTTGATTTGTTTTTATTTAAAATAAGCTTCTAAATGTTTGTTTTTTCTCTTGCTGCCTTTTCCTTACACCCTTACAAATTTAGGAAGATGAGAGTGAAGAAGAACCTAAGCTGAAGTATGAACGGCTTTCTAATGGAGTGACTGAAATTCTCCAGAAGGATGCGGCCAGCTGCATGACAGTGCATGAAAAGGTATTACATGACTTTGTGGCTGAGATAGAACTTCTGCTTGGTGTTATGTATTGTTATGAATTCTGTGGTTATAATGCATCAGTATATTTCTGTGTAGAATTGCTGCCAAATCTAGAGGTGCAGTGCAAGCCAACACTTATATAAACAAAATTCATGGTAAACTTGTGTTGAACAGTGCACGCTTTCTCAGTGAGAAAATGAGGTGACAATTCAAGTTGCAGTGTGATTTGTTACATGGGATGTTTACATAAGCTACTGGGAAAATGCTCACTCAATTTTAATTATGGACAGCGTTATAAACCAGAATTGGGATACAGTCCCAACTTTCCTTTATTCAGAAAGGAAATTGGCATATACTGTGCTTATTTGTGCAACCTTAATCACTGTAGACGGACTTGATCATGCTAGGGCCCAGCTTAGCATATATTCAGGCTGTGGAGGACAGCTGAGTTTCTGTTAATATGGTGTAGAATAAAGTAATTACAATATTCCTTTTTTCTTTGGTTGTTTTAGTTTTTGGTGAAGGGTGTCATACTAACACTTCCCTTTTCCCCTTCCCTGATTCAATATGTTAAAAACAAGGAGAGGGAATGCACATGCTCTGATACTGGTAAGGATTCAGACATACAAGAGAATGAAAGGGGGAAAGTGATGGACAATGCAAAGTAAAGAAATTTACAAAGAATCATTCCTTTGTTCTTACAAGGGAGAAGCTTCTTATGTTTTGTCAGTGATTTAAACAATTGCTTTTTTATTTTCTGATTTTTCTTCTCCTTTGTAAATACTGAATAACATTTTAAAATATTGACGAATGCTGAAGATCATCTGAAAGTATGAGTTAATAATTTGTCAAGTAACTCTTAGTATGTAAAACATAATAGCTGTTTTCTGAATGTATAATTTTTCACAGGCAGTAATAGCTCCTTAACAGTTATTGTTGAGGGATCTATCTCTATTATTCGGCTATATTTTTAGATTGACTTGTGCTGTGTTTCTTTTACTCAAAGGACTGTTGCCATGGCTCAAGAGGCTCTAAGATGAAGCTTGTATTTTAACTGTGCGAATGAAAACAATAAGTCTTTTTAAAATGTTTTTGACAACTTAGAATTACACAGATACCTGGAAAATTGGCAAGCATTTCCTCCTGGTCTGTGGCCTATTTGTGTTACCTTTTTTTCCTGAGCCTCAGGTAAATTTTGAAAGCCAAGAGATGAACAGGGTTTTTCTATAAGGATGTGCACAGATACAGCTTTAACTATAGTGTCACAAAGAGTGACAATACAGGAAAGCTGTTTAGGTATCGCAGCACTTTTAGTTTTCCAGAAAACTAGATACACTATTTATGAGAAGGATCAATATTGTTAGAAGCCAGGTAGTGGAGTCTTTTAGGAATAGGTCTCTTACAACAGAGAGCTTAAAAATGAAGCTGGGTTATAGGTTTTGCGAAGGTGTTTTCTGTTTTGTTCTGTTGTTTGGTTGTGTTTTTTTTTCCCCTGCAAGACCAGGAAAAGCCCTGCTAAAGAGTCATACGTTACTATGTAAAATATGCCTTTATTAAAGCGGTTTAACTTTGCTGGGAATCCTGAAAATCTGGCTTCTGTATTCAGACTAATTTCCCTCCAGAATTATTTTTTTTTTTCTTTTCACTGCTAAAGCATCATATTTTCACCAGGCTTGCTGTCTGCACTGGATGACTAATCGTCATGGCACCTGGTGCATTCAAGCAGGCCTGTGCAGTGGAATAGTCATACCTAGTTATGTCTGCACACCTGATGTTTTATTAACCAGTATTGATTTTTTTACCCGGGGGACTTTTTTCTTCCTGAAAAAAGGCAACCTTGCAGGAGTGAAAGGCATTGCAGGGGATGAATTTCTAATGAACCCCTTCTTTCCCTTTTTTGACTCCTTTTAATGTAGCTTCATATTTTAAGTGCCTGAACTGAAATTTCATTTTAAGCAATTCCATTTTGATAAATCCTTTTAAACCTTGACTTTCTGTAAGGTTATTTTTTAAAGATTGTGCTGCCTGACTGACACGCTTAGCAGTGCCTGTAAATTTGAGCATTTCATTATAGGTTGCAATGAAGCATGCTCACATGCAGTGAAATACAGAGAATTGAGGAGCCTGGATTATTTGAGTAATGCTGAAAGGAGGGGGGGAATAAAAGAAACCTTTGTCATAAATCAAGTAGTACCGAAGTTCTTCCTTTTCTGTTTAGGTGTAGTTCACATGGTTCAATTAACAGCACATGTCTCAGAATCAATTCCCTTTCTGTTTGCATCAAAATAAGTTTGTGATAGCATGCATTTTTGTGGAGATTTCTTTATTTTGCTACTGTTTTTTAGAATGAAACTCCTGAGATTTCTGAGGAAAAGTGTATTTGTCTTGAGAGTGTTTAATGTAAGAGTGTTACTATGTGAAGGAAAGCAAACCCAACCCAGTGGTTATCTGTGTGCTTAAATGCACTGTCAGAGACTTTCTGTAATTCAGCAGTGGCTTACCCACAGCCTTTTGCTGTGTTTGAATGTTTTGGTTCTATGTTAAAGATGCAGGAGAAATTAAAAATAAGGCTCAAAGGAAACCATTATGATTGAAACAAAGCGGTGGAAAGGATCAAGGAACTATTTCAGATCTGTGGTGGTCCCATGCTTTCACGCTGCATTTTTAATTTGCTGCCACAGTCCATCAGGCAGTGTGTACAGACTACAGACACACCATTAGTTGTCAGTGGATGAGGGTCCTCATGACTCATTCTGACAGCTAACTTGCACTATCACAGTAATATAGGCTTGAAGCCCTGTTTTGTTCTTTAGGTGCAGTTAAAATAAGCTTTGTCTGTAGAAGGTGGTGGCTTCTTTTTCCCTGGTGCCGCTAATCATTAATCTGCTAAACATCCCGGAGTTCATTTAGCCTTGTGGTAGTTTTGGTTGCAGTGCCTTTATGTTTATGTAATCAGTCTCTTTCTTTTTTTACAGTTTTTGGCACTGGGAACACATTATGGCAAAGTTTATTTACTCGATGTACAGGGGAACATCACACAGAAGTTTGATGTTGTAAGTATGGCATTATTCAAAACATGATGTAAAAATGCTGCGATGTAGTAAGTAATAAATACGTCGGGGTTTTTTTTTAAATAAATTTTTAAGTTTATTGAATTTTGCTACACCTGAAATTTTACTCATGCATTTTATGAACTCCCTCCTCATAACATAAGAGATGGCGTATGGTCCTTGCAAAAAAGAAGTAACACTGGATGGTTTTGTGATGAGCACATCTCAGTTTACCTATAATAAACTTTCTTTGTGAAGACAAAAGAGGAAATACATATTTATGATTGTAAATGGCTATTATTAATTATGTAACCCAGGGGCTCGTGACTCCATAAGACATGAGCCTGCTCATTAGGTGACTATTGTCAGTTGTTAGTGTGTGCACTATCATCTTATCTAGTTGCCACAAGTAATTGAAAATTGATTGATTGCCTTGCTGGTTCAGTTTATCTGCTGCAAATATATAACGCTAATATTTTATGTGAATGTTTTGAAGCTTGGACTCTTAAGGGATTGTATTGATTGAAGGAGAAGAAGGAGACTTTTTCCTTATTGTCGTTCCTGATATTAGAGGATGAATTAAATGCTAAATTTAAAGCTCTGGAGTATTAAATGTTCCTTTTAATTGTGGATATTTGTTGTTTAGTTTTTGTTTTGTTTTTTAATATCTCATTTTCATATTCCCTGTTTCCACGGGAGGTGGGAGGGAAAGAATTAACAATTTATTTTTTTTCTCCTGGCATTGTCACAAAATCTAGTAGCCAAGCATTGGCTTTTCATAGCAGCGTCAGCACTTGTCAGAGTATCCATCACAAGACGTTGGTGTGTTTGCAAAGAGAAAGTATGTTCTAAAGCTGACACAGCTAGCTGCATGGGAGGGGTGAAAGGTTTTGTTTATATTTTAGAAAAATCTAATTATGCAATTGTGCAAGAGGCCTGGGGAGGTGGGGGAAGGGGGAGGGAAGTCTCAACCAAAACCTAGACTGCTAGGCACAACCATTGTAGGAAATTTTGTATATAGAGTCTGGGCAGATTGATAATGACCTTCCTGGGTATTAATGAAAGTCAAGTTTATTATGTTCTTCTGTTTCTTTTAACTTTGTATGTTCATCAGCCCCCCAGAGGAGATGCTGACTGCACTTCAAAAGAGGAAGAGTTTTTGGTGTCTCCTTTACAGTTCTGATTACTTTACGTGTATGCTACTTGCTAAAGATACAGTTTCTTTCTCTCTGAAGTAATCTATTTGGGGCAGGCCGGATTAAAGTGTACCTGAATTCTTTCCTTCCATCTCTGCAGTAAAAGACTGACTCAAAGACTCCCTCAAATGAAGTGGAGATTTTCTATTGAGTCAGGCATTAAATGTCTTAGACTTTTATTTGTTCCACTCTATGTCAGGTACTTGGGAGAGTTCATTTGTAGAACTGCCATTTGTTTTCCGAAGCGCATCACCTACACCCCGTTCTCCCATTCTGGTTCTGAAAGGTGAAATCCTCCTCTCTCTGTAAAGACTTAGGGCATTGCCTAGGTGTGGAGCAAGGAACAAGGGGACCTGTTGTCTACCAAAAACTATAAAACAAAATCCGTGCAACCTCTTTGTACCCAGCCCCCCAAATCTGCTACTTTTCCTAGTTTTTTTTATTTAAAAAGTCCTACCAGTGCCTGTTGGGAGGGTGGTTTCTTATGATGAAGTTAAGGTTGGGCTATATAAACCACTTTGTGCTCTACAGTGCTTACTTGGTTATCCCTTTTCCAAACTTGACCTGCTTCGGGATGAAGATTTTTGTGCCTTTTCTAATTATAGAGATGGCAATGATTTCTTTTTAAACAATTGTTTCAGTATAAACTGCTTTTTGAGATGGAGAATAGGAAAAAGAAATGTTTCTTGCATTCTATTCTTAATGTTTCTGTCTCTTTTTGTAATGTATGTCTCCAGTACAACAGATAAATTATATCACGGATCAGGTGGAAAGGGTTCTTCTTTTTTATAGTTTGAGGAGAAATTATTTTCATCTAGGACCACTTGTCTTTAAAAGACAATTTTTCCAAGGAACTACTAATTGTTGTAGAACAGAATGGACTGCCTATGTGGGAAACAAAGCAGCTCTGTGACACTCTTGGCTGCTTAAAGAGAGAAGTGTTCTGAACGAATGTTGTCAGCTCTTGAACCCGTAGACAGTTTATTCTGAACTGGCTGCTGGATGTCAGAATATTTTCCTTCTAACCTGAGCTTTTCAAGATCTTGGACTGCAGACTAGAGGCTTTGCTATCAAAATGTTTGGTGGAGTCTTCCTTCTGTTCTTTCCTACCAACGCCTGTTTACTGTCACTTTGCCTGGGGGATTTACATTAGAGCATTGCCATGTTGTAAATCCCAAATAAAACCTGACCCTCTCGTGAGAAAGTGAGTTACTTCCAGAAGTCCTATAGATGCAAAGCTTTCCTTGTAAATGCGCAGCGGCAAAGAGTATTTTCTCTGGTGGTATTTTCTCTGTGGTTTGTTTGTTGTTTAAAAAAACCTTTTAGGACTTCACTCTCTAATGTCCATAGCAGCAAAACAATATGGGTACCCTGAATTGCAAATACTGGCCCTAGTGCTGCAAAGACTTAATCATGTGCTCTACTTCACAGAGGCTTCTGTGAAACTAACATAGACAACTAAAAAGTTTTTTCAGAACAGAGTCTTGCTGTCATCTTGCTCTTAAAATACCTGATGCTGGAATGCTGTGCCAGGTAGATGAGTAGTCTTTTCAGATTTGCAACTCCTTTTGTCAACAGCAGTGGAAATGTATGCTTTGAAACTGGCATGGGAGACTTTTGCGTTGGGGAGAATTGAGAGACAGGGATTTGGGTGGTGCTGCTGTCTCAGCAGCCATGCTTCCGTTCTTGCGTGATCCCCCTTTCCGACTTGCCTAGCATGTTTTTAGCTCTTACCAGTGTGGCTGTCTTTGACAATGTCAGCTGCCTAAGATTAACTGATATGCATCCTCAAATAACGTATGTTTGACAAACTGGTGTTCTCTTGTATTAGGGTTCAGTGCATTGAGTGAGATGAAATGTGTCAAACACACTGAAAATTATTACTAAAAGGCAACAAGAAGGGAGAAAAAAAAAAGCCTGCTAATGCCACTGACAAAGGATGATGCAGGACTGATTCACAGCATGTTAATTCCAAATGCCTCTCCATCTTTCTTTTCTTCTTAGACTATCTACAATTTATTAATATAATTATTGCCTCAACTGACATCTTGTGGATTAAAGACTTGTAGATATGAAGAAAGCTGTACAAACACGTTTAGTTAAGTAACAAATCAAAAACCTTTCAAAGGGCAAGAAAACCTGCCCCCATTCTGGTCTTCTAATAAACATCAAGCTTAAAGCAAAAGCGGTAAGAAGTCTTGGCTGGTGCCAGTGATACTCTGTGAGAAGGGAAAACATCACCTATTTTACAAGTAGGGGGGATTTAAATGTTTAATGCATTGTAGGTGCTTCAGAGGTGATGCCTGAGCCTACAAAACAATGTAAATAGTGTTTTAAAGCTTCTGTTAGTGCAAAGAAACTGGAAGTCCTTTTTAGCATGCAACATTTGTGAGCTATTCAAAACTGCTGGAATTTCAGAAAGAATGAAACTTTAAGTAGAGGCCCCTTCTCGCAGCATTTCTTTTTACTGTGTATTTCTTTCCTGGCCTCACCATTTTTTTTCTAATTGTCTCACATTGGGTAGCACTAAACATTTCTTTATGGCTTTTTAATCAGAGTGGCAGAAATCCAAAATCACTAGGTCATCTCTGCTACCTTGAAAAATTAAAGGGGAGTTCCTTCTGTGGTGGTATTGTTGCCCTTGGGTGTATTAAAGTTACAGCACTCTCCAGCCTCCGGAGCTTGCTTGAAGGTCAGTCAGTGGCCTGTTGGTTTTGCTGATACCTCAGCAGGTTGCAAAGAAAATGTCAGAGGTTTCTGTTGACTTGACGTGCTTTTGAAAGAGTTTAATTGCTAACAAGAAGAGCATATTTCTAACGAAGAAACGGCTCTCGTTAAGCACTAAATGCTGTTGCTGGAAATGGTGCGGAGCCCACTAACTTCTGTGAGAGGTAATGCAGCATCTTTCAATGGGGAAGGTAACTTTTAACATTCAATTGTATAATGAAGAAGTTACTTTGACTGGAACTTTACATGAGAGTTTAAGATAAGATGATATAAATGTCACTTATTTTGACAGGCTACTTAAAATTCCCTGTTTATTACTTTAACTACATCATTTTAGTTGTCACTGTCAGGCTATGAAAGAAGACTTAGTCGGGAAATGAAATGAAGCAACTGAATTTAGAGTAAAGATCTGGGTAGCTGTGTGTTAGTATTTGCAGGGTGTCACTGTGCCTGTTAAATTTGAAGCTGAAATTCTGCGTTTTGTACAAAACCAAGCCAGCTGCTATAAATGTAGGCTCTGAAAACCAAAGTAAAAATTAAGGTTTTGATAGGAGCGAGTGTCTATGCAGGGGACAGGTTTCCGTCCCCTCCATGGGACCTCCCACCCAAATGGGTGATGCTGTTCTACAGCTTAAATGCTTTAAGTTAACCCCTAGCTCTGCCCAATGGAAAAACTGGAGAAAAGTGACATCCTTTGGGATTTTGCTCTTAAGACTTGGATGTCTACACCCAATTTAATAGCCCTTCTTCTGCTTCTGTCTACCTGTCTTTTCATTTAAACTGCAGGTGTTTTGGAAATACAGAGGTTTTTACAATAGTTGTGGGAGTAACTCAGGTGGCGTTTTGAGTCTGGCTTTTTGGATGTTATAAAGGCTTGGAAAGTGTGTCTATAATGTTTGTTCTGGTACTGTGCTTATTAGGTTGTTTGTGACCCGGAGTGTTTCCAATGGGAACTGTGGAGCTATTGAAGATTAGAACTCTTTCTTGGCAGGAATCATGGTGTACCTGGGTCTCTCTGTCACTGGATGAGAAGTGATGTGGCTTGCCTAGACAGGCAAAAATTGTGGTGTCAAGACCATT